AGAAGTGATGAGTTTGGGATATTCTTCACATAGTAAAGCTTATAAGATATATAATAAAAGAACTTTGTGTGTAGAAGAAAGTGTGCATGTTATTTTTGAAACTAACATTCTTCTTGTGAGGCGGAAACAAGATAATGAAGAGATTGGACTGACAAGAAACTCAAATGATGAAGCCACAGTCCATCCTGAAGCTGCATCACAGGAAGGAACAGGTAATGGAATAGGTCCTTCCACCCAGGGCAACCTGACAGGGGGAACTGACTAGAGAGGAACTGATCCTCAAACCTCAAGGGAACTTGTCCATGAACCTATTCCTCAGTAACAAAACCAAGAAGGAACATCCAAAGAAATTGACACTCCTATTGCAACATCCACGAAATTGGATTGGATGAAACTGGTTCATTTGTTGATCAGAAGATTTATATGGGAATGATTGGCTCTTTGTTATATCTCACTGCTAGTAGGCTTGACATTATTTTTAGTATAGGACTTTGTGCTAGATCTCAGAAAAATCCAAAGGAGTCTCACTTGACTGCTGTCAAAAGGATCTTGAGATACCTAAAAAGCACCACTGACCTTTGTCTATGGTATCCAAAAGGTAGTAATTTCAACCTAGTGGAATATGCCGATGCTGATTATGCAGGGTTTTTGTGGATAGAAAGAGCACCTCAGGTATGACACACTTTCTTGTCTCAATTCTTGAGTCTTAGGCCACCAAAAAGAAAAATTATGTGGCCTTATCTACTGTTGAAGCTGAGTATGTTGTTGCTACCTCATATTGTGCTCAATTGTTGTGGATAAAAAAGCAATTAATGGACTTTGAAATTGATGTAGGTTGCATCCCCATATTTCATGATAACACTAATGCAATTAGTATGACCAGAACCGAGTCCATCACAAAAGAACTAAGCAAATAGATGTTGGGCATCGTTTTCAAAGGGATAATTTTGAGAGGTGTTGATCACTATGAAATTTTGTGCTGCTGATAAGGAAATAGCTGACATCTTCACAAAATCTTTAAGTAGGGATCACTTTGAAAGGAAAAGGTTATCATTAAGGTTGATTAAGATCACGTAAAAGAGGTCGGTTTTAACTCAATGATTGATTAGATAATTTGTGAATTTTGTGAATAACTAGATTAGATAGTACTCAGTCTCATGCTTTTATTAGTATACTCTTGTGCCATGTGCTAAAATGTCTCACTGATGTCTATTGATATTATCCTTATTTTCTTGGAAAAAATCAGTCTTACACAAGAGAACTTTCAGTGAAGTACCAGGTTCATCGAGCGTATAAGGTATGTATTCTACACTCACCATAATTTGAAATAATTGCATATGGATCATGAACTGAAAAGAGTCCCACTTTATCCAAACTACTGATGAACCAATTAGTTACAAATGAACCAGTTTCATCAAGAATCCCACGCACCATAATTGCCGAAATATTTGGAGAAGAGTCGAAAATCTTTTAAAACTGAAACTTCCAATGTGATTAGACTTCTAGACTTCAAAAAGGTATCGTTATACACTCAAACTTTCCATATTTAAATTGATCTGACCTTACCCTCTTACCTCATTTTTTTTTGAAAGATCAAATTCTTCAAAACCAAACTCTCTCCATTTATCTCAAGTTTCTGAACTGATCAACTGGAAATACCCATGAGAATCCCAAAAAACTCTGAAAACCCTTCATCACCACCCAAAAAACCTTTACCCACACTTTCAATCACCCAAACCTTCAAAAAAAGGCATATCAAAATGATTGCATGTAACATAGTGGCCAGTAGAGAACAAGCTAAGAAATTGAGTGAGATGCTACATGATATCCAAAAAGAAGAACCCTAAAAGTCTGATGAGTCCTTCAAGTTTGCGACTGCGGAGGAAAAACCAGTTCCATCTTAAACTGAGCAGGTAACTTTTAGGGTTAGAAATTACTTATTTTTCTTCCAAAATTGCGATGAATTTGGAGAATAGGTTTGTGCTGGTAGGACTTATAGTAGGTGTTGAAACTACTAAGTCTAGAAGGGTTGGTGGTAAAAATGAAAAAGAAAAAGAAAAGGAGAGTGAGGATGCTCGGAGTACTGTGAGGGGTAAGGAAAAAGGAGTGGTTGGTTCTTCACCCACTCATGTTGGTCTAACTAAAAAATCAGGTAGTATGACGCTTTGGGCTGAGGAATTTGCTGAAATAGAGGAGAGTGTGAGAAAAACAAGGGAAAGTGGGTCTGGAGAAGTTGCTGAGGGGCTGGTTCAACTAGGGAAAAATGTAGATGAACCTGTTCCATCTGAACAGGAGACCCTTGCAGACCTACTGAAAAGAGTGACTGAAAGTTACAATCCAAAGAAGAAACAAAGTTCAGGAGTTAGAACCCTGGCACTGCTAGAGGCAACAAGAAAAGGAAGGATGCCTCTTCTATCCCTGTAGAAATTCCTCCCACAAGAGGAAGAGCTACTAGGAGTCAGAAAAAGCAGAGTGAGGCTGAAATGGAGAAAACCTTAGAAGAAAGTAAAAAAAAAGCTGCTGCTAAGGGAAAAAAGAAGATGGTTGAGCCTGTTGAACTTGATGAGATGGACCTGGTCCTTCGGGATGAAGATGAGATAGAAGAAGTGGAGACTGTGACTCCAAAAGCTAAGAAAGCCAAGACTTCCCCAAAGAAGTCTATTTCAAAGACAAAGTTAGTTGAGCTATCCACTTTGGCTAAAAGAACTAGGTCTGCTGTGAAATAAAAAAAGATAAAAATGGTGGAGGAAGAAGAATGGGCTGGAGAAGAAAAAGAAGAATCTGATGTTGATAAGGACAAGATGGTTAAGTTTGGGAAGAGAACCATCTTGAAAGATAGACTCCTCAGGGAATTAGAGGATGAAGGAATGATGATGTTTCTAGAGAAGTTACAGTTGCAAGGCTGGAAGGAAATGGTCCTTCAGATGGATGGAAGGCTGGCCAGAACTGAAATTGTGAAGTTTATGGCAAATTGTAAGATCAAGGATGGTAGGGTCACCAGTGTGGTAAAGGAGGTGACAATGACTTTTGATGAGAAAGAGCTTGGAGAGATCTTGGGGGGTACCTGTTAAAGGGACAATGACTATAAGAAGCTCAAATGGCTAAGCCTAGAGAATCTCCCTACTGCCCTTGCCATTACTAGGAAATTTGGTGACAATGAAGAGGAACTTGAGCCCAAGAATATTTACAAAAGTCAGATGAAGCCACCCTACAAAGTGTTGTTCAAATTTGTAAACAAATGTATGCTTCCAAGGCAGGAAAGGAGGCACATTGCCACATTCATGTACCTGGTCCTTGTTTGGACAGTGAGGGGCAAATAAATTGGCCTAGGTTTATAATTCAGCTTCTTGACAGGGTTCTAAAGGGCACCAAAACTCATGTCATACCCTATGATTTTATTTCTTCTTATGCCTTGTGGTAGAATCTTATCAATCCATTAAATTCACTGCTTTTGCTCTAAATATTTGTTGATATTTCTTAGATGGCTAATATCCTTAGATTGGAAAAAAAGAAAATTGAATCCATGATTGCATTTGAAGTAGCCCTAGTGGCCATGAGTGATATCTATTAAAATCTAGTTACTTAACTTAATTATACAACTTTTCGATAATGCCAAAAGGGGAAAGATAAGATGTATTTTTTCTTTGGACTGTGATGTTTATAACATAATGAACCTAGTCCTCGATGATTTGTGTCTTTAAAATGAAAAGTGTTCTAACAGTGTATTGATGTTAAGCTGAGTTGAAACAGGTTTCATGCTTATGAAAAGCACGAAGTTTGTCATCATCAAAAAGGGGGAATAAGTTTGTTTTGATGATTGAAAAAGGAACACATGCATGAACCAAGTCCATGGACAATATACACAGGTGACGAATGGAATTAAACAAAAAACTTGCACGTGAAAGGGATAAGTATAAGTGGTTATATCTGATATTCCCTGAACGAAAAGATTGCATATTTGATAAGAAGCAGGACTCCTTACTTGAAGAGAACTCTACCCAAGATAAGGGAAGAGTTAAAAATTGAAGTTGACTAGAACTCTTTCACCGAGGAAGAGTAAAGCTTTAGAACTCTAGTTAATCTTTATTTACTAACTATATAAATATCAGTGTTGTTCTCTTTTACAGGTGATGCACACATACTGAAGTAAAGCAAGAATTGAGAGCTAAAAAGCAAGGCATTTTGTGAGCAATTCTTGTGAATTTTAAAAGTGCGATCCTGAAGCTACACGAACTAGATTGAAGAACCAGATTCATAAAGAGTTTTATGTATCTTTATTTATTTCTTGTTTAAAGTGCAGTAGGCATTTTGAGTTGTACCTTTTAGCTTTCTTAGAAGCAAATTGTACTAGGTACTTAAGTTGTATCTTTCAAGTTAGAGTTAACTTGAAGTAGTCGCAACAACTTGTGACTTGTTACTATAAGGGTTAAAGTTAATCCTTAAGTTTGCAAGAGGTTGTAAATTCGAGTTGTATTGTTCAAGTTAGAGTTAACTTGAAGCAGTCACAACAACCTGTGGTTGGTTGCTATAAGGGTTAGAGTTAATCCTTAGACTTGCTAGAGTTTGTAAATTTTGTTGTTGGCTCAGAGTTGTAGTGAAATGTTTGGAGAAAATCCTACTGGGTAGTAGGTCGTGGGTTTTTTGTACTTTTTGAGCCGGGTATTTTTCACGTAAAAATTCTTGTGTTCTTTACTTTCTGCATTTATTATTCCACAACAATAGTATAAGGAATATATAGAAGAACCAGGTCCTTCTATAATCTGTGCACGCAAAAAATTGAATACCACACAAACCACTCCTCTTGTGTGGTATTGAAGTATAAAACATCTAGTAGGCTAGCTAAGATTCTAGATAAGCTAAATTTTTACCCTTTCTAGTAGGACTCTGGCAGCACAGTTGTTGTAGTAGTGATTGGAAGTAACTTTGTAGTTGCCGCAGACCGGAGATGTCACTCCGCAGTTTTTTATTTTTTTTATTTTTACGTGTACAGATTGCCGCCGTTGGTAATAAAAACTTTTATTTACCGAAAAAAAGAATACATCTCATCGCCTCTGCAGCATTATAAACAATCTCAATCATGTGAAGTTTGCGTTGCATGGAATTTACAATCACTGCACAGAAAACCTGAAGAGTCGGGATATAGGGACTGCTGGTAAGCATGTTGATTGCAGTATGCCTTGTTACAGAAACTACATTTTGGAAGCTGAAGCCAACAATCCAAGCACAGTATATCTGCACAAGCTGCTTCACCTACTTCTTCATCTTTGGTGCATACACCACACTCTTCGCACCTCGGGACACACAGGAAGCAGCTCCTGCACTCTATAAGCTGCTTTCTCCTTATACAAGAATTTCTAGGACAGTCAAAGATTTCTCTTACTTCGCCACATTTCGGACAGATATCTACATCAATTGAAGTCTGAGATTCTTGTCCAAATGTGGATAATCCGCTTCGCCTGTGGTACTTGAAGTTCTTATTTCCTTCTTTCTTTTGCATCTGGTTTATACCCATTAGATGACCAAGTGTCTCAAAGTCCTCTCTCTTCACATTATAGATGCCAGAAATACTTAAGCTCTTTAACTTGTGGTTACCCTTGGTAAGTAACTTCACCGCTCCAAGTACTCCCTCAATGGTTAAGCCTGTGCACCCTCGTAAATAGAGCTGGAAAAAGGTGGAAAAGAACATAGAATTCAGGGCAGATGTAATTTATACTACCTTCTACCTCATATTAATTTATGTGGTGTTGATTAACTAGAATCGAGTTTGGCGAAAAAATGAAGACTGGAACGGAGATTTGTTTTCCTTTCCTCGGCCGGGAAAATCTAGAGTTGACTTCATTAAAGCATGGATATGGTTTCTGACTCATCAAACAAATTCAAGATTTAAAAAGACGAGTTTTTTTACAATAGAACAGAAATTGCAACTGAAATTCAAACCTATGAAATTCATTATTCAGCACACTTGATTAGTTAACTAGTACATATTTTTGTTTTTTAAATTTAAAAAAAAACAAGGAGAAAAGGGGAAGATATTAAAAAAGACTCCACCAACCATATCTTATCCATTACGATTTCCTTACAAACAAACTAACATACCTTGCTGATATGAGGATTACTGGCAATGACTTGTAGAAGCCCATCATCCGTTATCTTAAAGCAATTTATGAGAGCAAGAACTCTCAGACGACTATTTGCCTTGGACGTCATTTTTACCAGAAAATCATCAGAAAGACGAGTATTTAATGGCTTTTCGACAACGATATTCAGCCATGGCAGTATGTCATCTTTTAAAGCATCTCTTAATGACCTGCAAACTTGAGTCATAGACAGAAGTTCAAATAAAGGGAGATAAGCCAAGACTAAGAACATAGCTCCATGGGGTGGTTCCCCTGAGTCTAAAGGAGTTTTTATCATTGCTGTGTTTTGTTCTTCCCCCTCTGGTATAGGTTGTGAAATTTGCATGTCCATGGTATGTATGCTAAAAATAAGTGTTGGTTTTGAAGATATTTAATTTCTAGGAATGAAGCTTAAGTGAAAGGGCGATATGGAGAGGAAGCAAGTTGTGTGTTGATATTTGCTAGAATGAGAAAAGAGAAATATACTTGTCATCATGTGTACCAATTGAAACTTGTATGTCGGCGACATGTCAATACCAATTTAAATGTCCTGCGTCTCATTAGAGATGTAATTGAGGGATATTTGATTAATTTATTTGTTTAAATTGTACACGTTAAGAGATGTTTGGTTGGATTCGTTTGAGGAATTTATTTTGCCTAATTATGTCAAGATTATTATACGGTGATTAATCATTAAGGAATTATTGGATGACAATTCTAGCTAATACAAGAATTTCTGATACAGAGTTTAATAAGGCCAACTAAACCCTGAATTAAGTTATGTTAAGATTACATATTTTTTTTTTGGGGTACAAACCAATCAAACTTTGTATCAACTGCGTAGGAATTTTATGAAGGAATTCCTACTGTTAATGTGCTAAACCAACCGACCCTAAATAGTATAAATTAATTTTCACACTATTTAACTGTTTTACAGCATCTTTCTATGTTATCAATTCACGTCTTTTATAGTGTAAAAAAAGTGTATACGGTAAAATCGAAGGGTCTAATTTTTCGTCGTTACGACGCCTCGTAAGCACATCTCGAAGGCTCGAGACTACGGTCGAGTTTCATCCCTCAAGGGCCATCGACGCTCGACCTCGGGGCAGTATAGACTGACGATTACGGAGTAAAAGTGGGGAGTTCCCAAGGCGCATAAAAAGGGTTGACCAAGTTTAGTGGACTAGTCCAAAAACGAATCAAGACATTAACTAGTTGTACCATCTCCATATCTTTGTAATTAATGCATTTGTACTATGTTAGGATTCCCCCTCATATGTAAAGGGGATCTTTGTCATTTTGTAGACATATGTTGCTCAATACTAAATACACAAGAATATTCTCTCTGCTCTCTAACATACTCTCTCGATCTCATTACTTGCATTTATTATTCATATCCATTGTGTTCTATTTATTGTTCTTCATTTATTGCTTATTATTAGCCATAAAGAGCCGTCATTGATTTCATTATAACTATTAGTCGTCCATCGACTACCACCGGCGGGACATTAGACTCGACCCCGAGGCCCTGAATAAGCAAGCTCGAGGCCCCGACTGACAACCATTCGGTTTGGTTAACATCTTGTTTTTAAGCTCTTATCTTGATTCCAAATACCTCATTTAGCATCTATTGCCCTAACAACTAGCATAAAAATAGGTCACGTATTTTTAGAACCACAAAATGAAATTTAATTATTATTACCATTTTCACGGTAAACAATTTGGCGCCAACCCTGAGGCTAAAAATAATAGTGATTATTTTCTTGCTGGTTTTACTACGTAACGCAAGTTATCTTTCACACTTTTTCTTGCCCAGGATCTTTGATTTCAGGTCAAAATGTCTGATCAGTAAACAACAATCTTGAGAACCATGGAGAGAATGGTGTGGATGTTCCAGGTGTTGGTGTATCACCACGAAACCCTGAGAATGCACCAGAACCAATTCCCATGGACACGGTCTCACGCGATGCCCAACACGTCGATATAAGCTCTCATACTAACAGGAGCGTGCACCAAGGAGACCAACAAGAAGCCCAAAAAACCCCAGCTAGGGAAGAACGGTAGGTTAGCCTTCATGTTATTTTTGAAATGTTGCAGGCATAACAACTGGCGATTGCTGAGCTGCAAAGTCACCAGAAGACTGCCAGCACGGTAGCACTGGGGATGGCTCCCCCAGCCGAGCAGGTACCAAAGAGATCAAGCAACAACGGGTCGACAACCGACCCCGCCATCGTAAAGATGCCCGAGGACCTTACAAGGAGAATCGAATCGGGTGAGAAGAATATAGAAGCCAACGATAAGAAGGTCGAGACCTACAACTCCAGGGTCGACCAAATTCCGTGTGCACCTCTGATTCTAAAAGGGGTAGATTTGAAGAAGTTCGTGCAAAAGTTGTTCCCGCAGAAAGCGGCCCCAAAACCCATTCCAAAGAAGTTCAGAATGCCTGAGCTTCCAAAGTACAACGGAACCTTGGACCCCAACGAGCACGTCACTGCCTACACTTGCGTAGTGAAGGGCAACGACCTAAGGGACGACGAGATCGAGTCTGTCCTGCTAAAGAAGTTCGGGGAAACACTCTCGAAAGGGGTCATGATATGGTATCACAACCTAGCTCCTAAATCTATAGATTCATTTTCCAGGCTGGCAGATTCTTTCATTAAGGCACATGCTGGTGCTATCAAAGTAGCTACAAGGAAATATGACGTCTTCAAGATCAAGTAGAGGGAGAACGAGATGTTGCGAGAGTTCGTATCTCACTTTCAAATAGCAAGAATGGAACTACCACCGGTTTCTGACGAATGGGCGGTGCAGGCCTTCACTCAAGGTTTGAATGAACGAAGCTCGGTGGCTTTGAAATAGTTGAAACAGAATTTGGTTGAATACCCCACCGTGACTTGGTCAGATGTTCATAATCGATATCAGTCAAAGATCAGGGTCGAGGACGACCAACTAGGAGCCCCCTTGGGCTCGGTATACCCAAGCAGGCTCTTGGCAAAAGAGCCAAAGCCAAACAAAGAAAGATACCAACCGTACGTTGAAGACAAAAGAAAAGCCCCCAGGCGCAACATACCCCGCAATGACCGTTGGATGTATCGAGGCTAGAATCCTCGGGGACTTGTCGGTAGAGCTGGGTTCGACAAGCACACAGGGCTGACAGACACACCCCATTTATCGGAGTATAACTTCAACATCGATATTTCAGACATCGTATTCGCCATCAGTAAAATCAGAGACACTAGGTGGCCAAGGCCTGTGCAATCAGATCCTTCACAAAGGAATCATAACTTAGTGTGTGAATTTCACAACATGCATGGCCACAAAACCGAGGATTGCCATCAGCTTTGAGAAGAAGTATCTCGGCTACTCAACAAAGGTCACCTCCAAGAATTCCTCAACGATCGAGCCAAAAGTCAGTTCTGGGAAAGAGAGGCGACCAAGAAGAGTGAAACAAATGAGCCGACATGTCATCCATATGATCTTGGGAGGTATCGATGCTCCACAAGAGCCCATGATCAGAAGAACAAAAATATCCATCACCAGAGAAAAGTGAACTCGGGGTTACCTACTCGAGAACGCTCTCACATTCACTGATGAGGACATCGAGACCTTGTCTCAGCCTCACAACGACGCACTGGTAATCTCTTTCCATGTAAATACATTTAAAATTAAACGTGTACTTGTGGATCCAGGTAGCTCGACCAATATTATCAGATTGAGGGTGGTAGAGCAGCTCGGACTGCTTGACCAAATAACGCCCACCTCTCGAGTCCTCAATAGATTCAACATGGCGAGCGAAACAACAAAAGAGGAAATCACCCTCCCAGTCAACGTGGCCGGCACAACCCAAAATGCTAAATTCCATGCCGTCGAAGGAGACATGCGATACAATGACTTGCTGAGAAGGCCATGGATACACTGCATGAGAGTAGTACCGTCAACCCTTCATCAAATGATGAAGTTCCCAACAAAGGACAAAATAAAAACCGTGTACGGGGAACAACATGCAGCAAGGGAGATGTTCACAGTACATGATATGGCGCCGACACTAGTACCTCCACCTTCGAAGGAACCAAATGATAAGCAAATAGTAAAATAGCGATAACGAGCTACACTCTCAGTCACCCCGACTAAACAAAACAAAGGACCGTACTGAGTCTTCGTAACAAGCGATTGAATCATATCGAGATCAGAAGCGCCGTCAGCACTAAGTTATGGCCATCCCCTTTTTTCAGTTACATTTTATACTGACCTAAATGCAGGTACCCAATCAAAACAGCCGAAGCGCTTCCCAACTCGAAGGCCTTAGGTTTCAAAAGCATGTGTTGCACTCTTTTCCTTCGACCGGGTTTTTATCCCAAGAAGGGTTTTACCGGCGAGGTTTTTAACGAGGCAACATCTATATGCTACCTAAGGAATATCCAACAAGTGTTCAAGGCTTCTTTTGCAATCAACCTCAAATATCGGGGGGCATCTGATAAGTAGGGATTTTAACGAGTTTCATGCTCCTTCTTGCCTATGCTTTGATTGTAAATTGTTACAAAATAGTCCCAAAAGGCTCATAAGTTGTGCTTGATTGCAAGTTTGATCAACAAAGTGATGAAATGTCAAAATTGGGCTCAAAAGGAGTAAAACCTGCTCAAGTATCAAAGACACAGTAAACTGAGGGCAAACAGCCTAGTGCGGACCGCACAAAGTCGAATGCAGCCACACTAGATGATTCAGAGAGTAGGCAAAACCAGGCCTCATTCAACGCGGCCGCGGTACACATTTCGCGGTCTGCAGTGAAGGCTCTGCGGCCGCGCTACCTTTTTGTGCGGTCCGCGGAAGGGAGGTTCATAGAGTTGGCAAAAATGGGCTTCAGGTAACGCGGCCGCGGTACATATTTCGCAGTCCGCGGTGAAGGCTCCGCGGCCACGCTACCTTTTTGTGCGGTCCGCGAAAGAGATATTCAAAGAGATGAGAAATTCCAATGCGGTCCACGGTCATGGTTGTGCGGACAGCGATAGCTGCCCCTACGGCCGCGGTCCATTCTACGCGGTCCGCGGAGCCCAAGTTCAGAGAGCCCAGAATTGAAGTCCAAGAGCCTAGTGCGACCGCGGTCCATTTTATGCGGCCCACACTAACCCCGCGGGGTATTTTTGTCCAGTTTTTCCAGCCTAGTATAAATAGAATATTTTACCATTTTTTAGGTTATCGGATATATCTAAGCAGAGTTGCGCTCGTGGGAACCTCATTTGTAGCCATATTTGGCATCTTAGCTTCAAATTAACAATAGATTCTCTGTATTTACATTAGCATTTAATTAATATGCCTTGTTCTTCATCTATTTCTTTATTTTCTTCTTCAAGCATGAGTAGCTAAACCCATTAGCTACGGTTGTGGCTCAACCCTAGTGTGGGTAATTGATGGGTGTTGCCATCTATTGTTAGATTGACTATGGGTATTTGTTATTTGGGTCAATTTTATAGTTTAATCTATGAATTGGTGGTTGCAAACACTGATTTGTGCTAAGTTGACTTGTCTCTTCTTGAGAA